AAAAAATGGTCACAACATGGCTGTATTCCAAGAAACTGATCTTCTATTAAATGTCCTTGGCTACCCATTATTAGTTGTACATAATAGCACAATTCTTTCAAACACAAAATCTCTAAAATGTGTTTTAAACTTCTAACTTTCAATTTGATCTGGAAACAGTGGAGAAACTTAGAGCCTCTCCACAACACAATCACACAGATGTAATACGACAAATTCCTATTAATTTTATTTTTAACCATTTTTCATTTTATGTGTTTCTTACTCCAGACATCTAAAGAGTCATGTTAGCAACAAACTACTTCATTTGTGAAGAGTAACTGAGCGCTGAAAATTTGTTTACATTAAAACAGCTGGAGTCACAGCCTGTACTTTGAAGCATATACTTAACAGAAATAAAGTGCTGAACATTTTGACATGGCGCTGGATATAACTATAAACAACTGATGTCTGGTAAAGTTTAAACAACATGTTACTAGTATCTAAATTTACCTCTCCTCTAAACTCTGTCTTGTTCATCAGCTCTTGTCTCAACTGTTTCACCACATGACTCTGCAAAAAATTCCCCAAAATTAATTTCAGCAAAAAATAAATTAATAATTAATACTAATCAATGATAATAATAATAATAAAAATAATAAATTATGATGATAATGATGACCGTAAAGAAAATATTAACAGAGAGACATATCATGATAATTTTAACAGCAAAACTGTTAATTAGTTAATAAGACCTCTTACAGTTCTTTCCCAAATCAACTGAGAAATGACAATAATAGTACAACACCTGTGATAGTGACAACATTGGTAAGAGTAAAAAGAGAAATTAAAAAACCCTTCCCTTAGTGGTAAAAATAAATCTCTGACTTTGTGGTAAAATCAACAAATACCATTTCTTTCATTATTGAAATGGAAGGCCAGGGGATCTTGATTTTTCATTCAAATAGACAAAGACTGCAGATACACCAAAATAAAAATAGGAAATGTTCATTTTGAAGAATTCATACTGCCATTACATTTTACGTTTAAAAATTTGCAGTTTTATATTGATCATTAGATCAGTATTGTAAATACTACATTCACTGGGTGACTTAAGAGCCAGCCAGCCTCCAAGATATCCTGTTGTATATACCCCAGCTTTAAAACTAGGAGATAATTTTACAAAGTTTGAAGTCCCTAGCCATTGATAATTTTTAAGACTTGGGAGATTTCTTTTGAAGCTTTGATTAGTATCATCTGTGATTTAAAATACACAAGTATGTCAATGAAATGAGCCTTCCATCCTTCTCAACAGATGCAACAATTTTTTTCTCTCTGTTTAATAGTTTCCCTCTGAGAGAAAGTCCAAGGGTTCAAGTATTTCTGAATGGGGTTTACAAAATGTAAAGGGTGATATTGCACTTGATTTCAAATTCTGATTTTGAACATAAGTTTACTCAAAAGAATTTTTATGGAGAAAACAGACAAAATCCAACTACATATGGCCTTCTATAAATATTTCACTCAAAGTTCTGTTCTACATGAGCAGTGGTAATGTATACAATAAAATAAAAACTTCAGCCACCTTTATGTAATGAAAGAAACAAAAGGACAATACAATGCGTTGAGAAAAAAAAAAAAAATGCGCAAGAAATTAAAAAAACAATGGTTCATTGGAATAAATTTCTAGACGTGTACTGCTCATTTTTCAAAATATCACTCAATCAATCCGTTTGACGCTAAACAGATACGAAAGTATTAAAATGTGTGATCTCACTTCCGCTCCCAAATGCCATCGATTACAGAGAAAGCTTCGAAATCCTACCTACGTGAAAGAAACGCTCGTGAAAACTCTCGATTTCATGATCCGGTGACTGTACTTTCTTGAGACTCCCAAATTTCACGGCGAAACAATCTAAAAGTTGGCGGCAAACACATATTTTTCGAGTCGCGGAGTCACACCTGTAACAAGTCCCACGGGACGTTGACGCTCTCTGATTGGCTCATGTGAGCATTGAATGCCCTGCATTTTAATTTTTTACCACCCTCCATGCCTCGACCAAAACCTCCTTCCTTATATTTGCATGTGATTTTTTTTCACGTCTACCCCGGGTTATTTTTTTGCTCCCAAATAAACTCATTTGCACGCTAAACTTACTTGTTGTTCGCTCAGGCTTGTAATATGTGCTTGAAGACTCTGTAACTTTTTCTGTAGGTCGGGATTCTGTGAAAATAGCGATATCTGTGTTTGGAAATATTTCTCAAAAACTGCGCCAAGGCAAAACAATTGAAACCCAACACACTGAAACATTCTAATCATAAAAGAAGCGAAATATATTTTACCTGTGGATCTGTCTTGATTTGTTGGATAAGAATCTACAAAAATCAATAGAAAACATTAAGAAAATCAAACTAGAGAGCGAAATCACGCTGTCCGTCGAAAATTATACATTTACTAGAAGTTCAAGTGAAGTAATAGGGTGGTATAAGACGGCAAAATTGATTAAATATGTACCGTGTCGACTCGCTTGACTTCGAAGAAATTCTCGAGTCTGTTTCCGCGGCATGAAAAACATTCTGGAACTAACGAGCTACGCTATCAAGTGTCAAAATTTTTCTTCTTCGAACTTGAGGTCGACAACAACACAACATAAATGAGCATTCGGTAGTTGGAATATCGCAAAAACCTAGGCTAATCTACATGCATAACACTTGGAGATAGTTTGTCAAATAGCTCTTTCGAATAGAAAATAACGTACCTGATGTTGCTGAAGTTGGCTTGTCAACTGCGACCGCAATTTTTCCAACTCCATCGAACAGCAAGGCTTGTTCTTTGCGGGGATTTTTGGCGATTTATAAAAAGGCTGAACTGCCGAGGGGTACCGTACACGGTCTCTGAAGGGAACTAAAATGACCAAATACGTACAGCAACGAGACAACTTGCTTTTCAAGGTCCCGGATAAAGGGTGCTTTCTCCGCCGCCTGTGTGTTGCGCGTGCGTGGTACATGTCAAAATGGCGAAGAGAGGCGCGGATAAAGAACTTACACAAGACAATTGGGATCAGGAGGAAGAGGAAGAAGAAGTAAGCAATTCATTTCATAGCTCTCACTTTATTTTACCATTGCTCTTTGCTTGAGTTCGATTAAAGGTCAATATTTTGTCCCAGTGCGGGTGCAAATGTAGATAAGTTTACGGTACATGTCACGGTGCGTGTGTTTCGGCATGGCGCGCACATATGGTTAATTTTCAGACATCACATGTGGAAGTCCTTACATAGATGTCTAATCCAACCTCTTATGTTTTGTCAGGCTGGTCATTTCAAAGTTGCAAGTACTGATGATTTAAGCAAAAGAAAGTGAGTAAATAGGCACGTAGATCCTACATGTGCATGGATATAATTTGCTTTCTTCATAAGCTCACAAAGCTTAGATGGTCCTCTATAAAGAATATTGCTACTTGTAGAGGGTTGTTACATTATGAGAAATAGTTAATATAGTATTAAATTATTATGTAGATGTTACTGAGATCCATATTTGAGAAAATATTGGTCAAGTTTGTTTTTAGTGCGGTTTTAATTTATCAAATATGCAGCAAAACCATCTGTAAACTTCCTGCAAAAAAAAAAATTAGACTAATATCCCCCAGTGCACGACTGTTTTATAAACTCTGTCGATGAAGTTGTGTATCCATTCTCTGTTAAGTCACGTGCCAAAACAAAACATGTATTTACAATTTTTTGGGCAGCTTTTGTGAAAGTTTAACTGAAATTAATGCGAGACATGGCTGTTGAAAGATTTCTTCATATAGCAGTGTAAGATTCCCCATTCCAATGAAAATCAAAGAAAATGTGAGACTATTTCTGGATGGGTTTCCAGCTTTAGACGTTTTGAGTAATGGTAAGGTAAAGTCTGTGTAGGAGCCAAGTAGTCCATCAACCCAGTTTCTGTAGCATGAAGTGACTAGGAATATTTCTACTCCCTCCTGGATGGGATGCTAGTCAATCACAAGGTTAACCCAGCATTAAATTCCCTGGTACCGATTTATACACCTGGGTGGAGAGAGGCACTGTGAGAGAAAAATGTCTAATGCCCAAGAACACAATTGATGCAATGTCCCTAGCCAGGGCTCGAACCTGGACCGCTTAATCCAGAGTTGAGCACACTAACCATGAGGCCATGGTGCCTTTGAGCAAAATGGGTGTATAAAAAAACATTTGTATCTTGATCAATGTGTTGATTATTTGTTATTCAGGATTATCAAGGCTAAACGGAGAGGTAACAACTCGGACAGTAAGGTATAAAAATTACATATTTTTGGATGGTTTATCTACTTTGATTTGTTGACGTTTTCAGTGGTATGTGTTATATCACTTGACCAATGCAACAGCGTGAAATAAGTAAGAGAAAAATTCTTCTGGGCTGTATAGCAACAAGTTATACAAAGTGCAGGGCTGTCAATGAGGGCTGTAACCTGTAACACTTGTTATGGCTGAGTATGTTTGATAGGCCCTTGATGTTATGAGTGAACTTGCCTGTAGGTTGATATAATTCACCCATAAAGTAACAAGTTTGTTACAGATGTGAAGATCAAGGCTACAGGTGAATCTAAAATTAATGACAGCCCTGGTATCAGCATGGATGTAGATTAAATCCATGAGCATGGTAAAATATTCTGTTAATACACAAATGTTACTGGTAGCAAAGGCTGGGAATTGCAGAAACTGGGTAGATTTTGAGACCCTTTCCTTGATTATCTTAACTACATCCCTCAAAAGTTGGTTACTGAGCATTTTAAAAATGTATTCATTTGGTTTATTTTCAGCCTGGTGGAGGTGTTTTCCAAGGGTTTTCAGGATTTGCTGGGTTAAATAACAACACCTCAAGTTTTCCAACCAGCGCATTCTCAATAAAACCCTTCCCTGGAAACTCTAGTTTCACACCAGGCTCAACAAATATGTTTAGTGGTTTGAATGCCTCTTCAGCAGAAGCCTCGACCAGCGCCACTGCATCTTTTACATCACTGAGCAGTAATAAAAATGGATTCAAAGCAAATTCCTCAAGTGACTCAAAGGCTACCAATGCATCAAGCAGTTCTTACAAGGATAATCTCAAGGCCCTCAATGAAAGTGTTGCTGCATGGATACAAAAGCATATTACTGTTAATCCATATGTCGATTTGACTCCAATATTTAATGACTATAAGGAACACATGAAAAACATTGACTTGAAGTTTTCAAGTTCAGCTAAAGAAACAGAAAATTCATCAAGTACTTCTTTGGCATTTAATGCCACAAAACAACCTGCTGTGAGTTCAGCTTCAATAGTTAGTGCTCCATCTCAAGCATCACAGGAAACAGAAGAAAACAGATCACACATATTAAACACAGGTGAGAGTTTGCCTTCATGTCAGGAAAACGCTCAGGGAATTAAGGGATTACTGATTTTGATAATGAATGTTGTTGACAATGACCACCTGTTGCCAACAAAAATAGTTTTTAATTAGTTTTCTCCAAAAGTGTTTTCTGGTCTGTGGAGATTGAGGGCCTTTTTGTCTTTATTTCATTCCATATTTCAACTCATTTCATAGTTGACCCAATTTTATTTCCAGAAGAACAGAGTTCAAAGAAGGAAACTGTAGAGTGTCAGCCTGGAACATCAGGAGAAGACAATGCAGAGGACCAAGTTCCCAAGCCAATAAGGTACATGTACTGTAAAATAATGAATGATTGTATGACAAGGGAGCTTTTAGCGAGGTACCAGTTGTCATTGTACTTGCACATTCTTGTGTACCTGTCTGTCGATTTGTCTCTTCATCTGTCTGTCTGTCCATTCAGTCACTTGCTCTTGAACATACTCACCTCTCCTTCATTTGCTTACTTGATAATTCGTTCATTTACCTAATCAGTCACCCATTTAAATGGACATGTACAGGCTTCTCCCCAGATACCTACAGACATGTGTTAAGGTTGCATTATGCATTTAGTATCATTTAGCAGTTCTTACAAAGTGACATTTTGCCTTTTTTTGTTAACTGAAAAAGTTCATATGAAAAGTACAGCAGTTGCAGCATTTATAATAATTCTTTTTATGATACTATCCACTTGAAACATGTACATTATCAAGCAGAGAGGGGACAAGAATTTAATAACCTCAACAAGGGGACATTGCCCTGATGAACTGCCAAATTCTCAATAAAAAGGAATGCTAGACAGTTAGTAAGGAGAATGTGAATTATTCTTCCAATTGAGTGTGATCAGTAATGCTTTTTTTTAACTGATTGTTATTTATTTTCCCTTCTCACATTCCAGTGTTGTGGTCGCTGAGGAAGGAGCTTTCCACTCCATAAGGTGCAAGCTGTTTTTTAAACGTGAATCAACTTGGGCTGAACTGGGAATTGGAATGCTTAACTTGAAGAAACTAGATGGAAAGACTCAAGTGCTGGTACGAAATGACACAACTCTGGGAAAAATTCTTCTAAATGTTTACCTGGCTGAAAGCACCCCTATCAGTCGGTCGGGAAAGAACAATGTGATCTTACTGTCGGTTCCAAATCCTCCACTCTACTCCAAACCCAGTGAGGGAGACAACAGCAAACCAGCGACTTATTTAATTAAAGTGAAAACTGCTGAAGATGCAGATGAACTCTTTAAACAGCTGGACACAAATAAACCATCGGATGGTTAACAGTTTATGATTTTAATCTTAGCTGTACAAATTTCTGGAATTTTGCTTTTAACAGAGATGTTAGTAACATAATTTAACTCAGAAGTAGTACTGCCAGGAGCAACTAACACATTTTAGTGATAACAGAAAAATCACTTGGGATTATTGTCTCAATTTACCAGCCCTAGTCCAAAGATTGAAACAGAATTCTTTTTGAACTAATCTCAGTTCCTGTTGTTTATGCTGAAATTTATTTCATTAGTGATTCCTTCAAGGAGACTGGCACAAAACACCAAGAAAATACACAAACTATTTCCATTCAAAAGAACTGTTTATTTTCAACAGTAGGTAGACCTTCAGGATTGGGAGGGAGGAGAAATTATTTTGAGTGACAATAAGTCAAACGCTAATAATAGCAATCTCAAAGAAATAAGCACTCTAGTTTTGTGACTTATCTGCAGACCATTTTAAATGAATGTTTCAAATCGTAGGACCATCTATTTTTTTTAGCATATTCTGTGTGAATTAAGTCATGAGTTCATTTCATTTTCTTTGGATCGTCTATTTTTCATGTAATAAAACACAGATTTTTAACTCTGCCATAGTGAATTATTTTTATCTGTTGTGTCTTGGGGAACCAGATCAACATTTCAATGTTTGATCAATGTCAACACCAGTGCTGTGGTTACTGCCGGAGGCATGCATGCTATTGGAGTAGCGTCTTAGAATAAAAAAGCAAAACTGCTTTAAACAGCATTGCTAACAACAAAGCATTGGCATCCATCTATCCGACAACCGAGTTTGCCAAGTGTTTTTTATTCTTAAAATCCAACAGAGGGAGGGTCTAAAGACAAAAAAGGCCCATGTATAGTCCCCTGTCACATCTCTGGACAATCAGTCAAGCTCAGTCAATAATGCATTTATTATATAACATAAAGAACAATATTCTACAACCAGCAGCTACTAGACTCAAATGGGTAAGATACGCCCCATCTTGCTCGCTCATGGAACTTGCTATTTGATAAACTACAATATTAGACAATCAGTCAATAAGCATTTATCATACAGCATGAAAAACACTCCTACAATCAGCAGCTAGTAATCTCAAATGGGCAAGATAGCCACATTTTGCCTGCTTGTGGAACTTACCATATCATGAGCTACAATATTAGATACCATAGATACCAGCGTTAAATTCATTGACTGTAAATAACAATAACTTAACGAGGCAAAAACCATGAATTATATTGTCATGAAACATAATTGGCAATGCTCTGAGCACATGAGACACCAATGACTTAGTTACTCATGACTTCTAAGTGCTTTGCAGGGCACAACATGTAGATAATATCAGTTGACCTCGTGATTATCACAGGCTGTTACTACTTATTATTAACTATTATACCTAGACTTGACATGCAAAACGGCAAGTGTGATTAATCCACACCTCACTGCAGGAACATGTACAGTAGCAGGTCAAATCTCTATTATGAACCTACCCTACTTACACAGCCAACTACTACCATTGCAATAACTTGAATGTTTGGGCATATCTACTTGTGCAGTACATGGATGGGCCTGTTTAGACTGCAAGCAGTCGACTTCTTTCCTCCAAGTGAGAGCAACATCATCGTCGAAACATTTTCATGACCTGGTCACTAACTGAGGCCAAGGAAATGGCTGGTCTATGATTATCTTGTATTCAAATGTTTCTC